CTTTCTCACACCCAACCCAGTTCTGCAGAATCAGAATCAACGTTGAATTTAAGCAAGCGAATGAGCCAATTGGATTAAAGTGCTATGCAGATTTAAATTTTTCCCACTTGTGATGAATGCAGCTATCGATTTTTTTTTGCATACTAGTTAACATTCGTGTCAGTCAGCTGTTGGCTCTCACGCTGGCTAATAGAATCTTCCTCCCTACTCGTAGCAGCCAGCTATTGGCTCTCACTCTGGCCAGTACAAAATGGTCGCAAACTACATGAAAACTGCCGTAGAAGCATGAAAAAATCGATTATTTCCACTATCGATGGGAGTTGGGAAATGCAAAGTTGGTCTTTACTAACTTGGAGCATGTGCATGTAAATTTTGGTGCAAATCCATCGAAAATTGCGGCCGTGGATTCGTTACACACACACACATCCTGCCTTTTATAGATAGAGATGTAAATTAAATTAAAGCAATTGTTACTGACACTATAAGTCTATTATATATACAATGCAAATACATTTCTAATCGATATATTGTAGAATAAGCCGTAGTCGACCGGGGCGGGAAAAAGCGGGGGGTGGGCTTGGCTCCCCCACAAATTAAAAAAAATACAATAAAGAAAGAAATACAAGAAATAAAAAAAAAACTGTCAAAGCAAGGAAGAATATGACTTTCATAAAACTCCTATGAAAGTTCTTACATTAGTATGAAGTAGGCGATCATGGTCCTCCACATCTTCCTGTCCCTTGTAGCACTTAATATTTTTTGCCTTTTTGTTATTTCTCCCAAACTTTGTTGTACCAGCCATTTACTCAAGCTGACCAAGAATGTTACTCAGACCCGTGAGTATCAGATTTTCCAAGCCCTCCTTCCTCATTACGTGTTCCAGAAAGGTTAACTTCCTTTTCTTGATGTTAAGTATAAGTTTCCTTTCCCCTATATATAATCGCTTATAAAATCAGTTAATTCACGTTGTTTATTTACAAAGGACTTACACTTGAATCTACAAGGCCGTAGTAAGCCGGGGGCGGGGATCTTGAATTCCCCCAAATTTTTACCAATTGTAGTACATTTTACAGGGTTTTATTTTAACAATTTTTGTTATTTCTCCCAAACTCTGTTCTGCCATCCATTTGCTCAAGCTCATTAAATGTGGTACGTGCTGCTTTTCTTAGTCCCTCTTTTCCTCAATCAGTCCTGAGAGTGTCAGATTTTCCAAGCCTTCTTTCTTTATTACATGTCCCAGAAACCTCAACTGCCTTTTCCTGGTTTTAAGTATAAGTTTCATTTTAACTCTGTATAATCGCTTATAAAATCAGTTAATTAATTCTCGTTGTTTATTTACAAAGAACATACACTTGAATCTACAGGGCCGTAGTAGCTGGGGGTGGGGATCTTAAATCCCCTTTTAATTTTTACAAATTGTTGTATTTTTTACAGGGTTTTATTTTAACAAAATACAAGAAAGAAAAATCTATGAAAGCAAGGAAGAATATGAATTTTATAAAACCCCGATGAAAGAATTCTTTAAAGTTGTCTGATGATGGTAATTTCCCTTTATCGCGTGGCTTTTCCTTTCGGATAACGAGTTTTCTAAAAGGAAATCACATCGAAGTCTACTATTTGGGAAATTTTCAAGACACGATCTTCTAAAAAAAAAAAACAAAAAAAAAACAAAAACAAAAAAAAAACCACTGTATAGGAATACAGATGGGATAATAGCTTAAACTATTATTGTAGTTGTTTTTTTTGCGGGGGGGGTCAGACCCAAATATAAACGAACTAAGTAAAAAAAAGGCAATTTTCTCCTTCATTAATAAATCTATATTTTCCCTGTAGACATTAAAAAACAGATAAAAAAATTGTTTCATTTGTAACCCAAACGTTTCCCGATTATTTCAAAGATGATTTCTGCCAATCTAGAGAGAATGGAAATTTTAAATGTTCTTGCCGTTTGCCATGTTGACAGACTTTGATAACAAGGCTAAATTCTAAATCCCGCACCCCAAATCTGCTACACTACTGATTGGGTATGAAAAGTAATCGATAATCGTGAAAATCAATCACATGAATGCCTAAACTGTTTCTTATATGAAATACCGAATCCTTTCATGTTAGGATATCGATTAATTAAAAAGAATTAAAAAGACATTAGAAAGAGCTCCAATCTGTTAGCAGGGCCATAGCAGCCATGGTGGTGATGTTTGACTCCCCCCCTCACAATTTTTTACCAATTGTAGTATTTTTTACGGTGTTTTGTTTTAATAAAATACAATTAAGAAAGAAATACAAGAAAAAAAAACTATCAAAACAAGAAAGAATATGACTTTCATAAAACCGTTTTCCGAAAGGAAATGACATCAAAGTTTCCTATTTGGGAAATTTTCAAGACACGATCTTCCCCAAAACACACAATATTGGAATACAGATGGGGCAATACCTTAAGAAGTTCTTGTAGTTGTTTTATTTTTTCAGACCCCACCAAAAAAAAAAAAAAAGGAACAAAGAAAATATAATAATTTTTCTTTCATTAATTAATGTATATTTTCCCATGTAGACATTGAAAAAAAGATGAAAAATTCTTTCATTTGTAACACAGATAGTTCTCTATGATTCCAAAGATGATTTCTGCCAATCTAGAAGAACTAGAAATTTTAAATATTCTTGCTGCTAATCATGTTGGCGACCTTTGGTAACTTGAGACTAAATTCTAAAAAAAAAATTTGCCCCATCTCCAAAAACAAAACAAAACAAAAAAATTGTGTCTGCTGCAGCCCTGAAATATTTCTCAGGTCTATGTTGAGATTCACTGCCTTAAAGCAGTCAGTCACAGAAAACACTGGATCATTGTGATTTCTCCCGCAAAGGTGAGTAGGGGGAATGTAGATTTGAATTCTGCTGGAGAGCACATTTTCTTTATTAATTATCTTGAATACACAGGTTAGTAGACATAAATCACACTATTTAAAAAAAAACAGGGCATCTACACTAACATGGGTATTTCCTAATATAATGTTTCAAGTAATAAGAAAAACACTAAAATAGGCAGTATTGGAATACAGACGGTGTCTCTATTATACAAAAGATGAATTCTTCCAATCTAGAGGTACTGGAAATTTTAAATGTTCTTGCCGCTAACCATTTTGGCGCTCTTTGATAACTTAAGGCTAAATTCTAAATTTTTTGCCCCCCCCCTCTAAAAAAGCATTTGTCTCTGCTGTGGCCCTGATACGACTACTCAATTGCATTAGTAATGAGAGAAATGCATTCAACGCAGGGAGATTGATCAATTTGTTTTTTTACGGTTTATCAACCTTTTGAAGGTTATTTAAAACCAGAAAATATTTTGGTATTGTAAGAATTTTGGAGGGAAACAATGATTTACTGATATAAGTGTTACTAATTAATCCATAGCTAGGGGATAAGAAGTAGGTTAATACCTTTCCCAAGGGTATTTGGGCGTAAGCGAATATAACGAACCTGACCGGGAATGAAACTCAGCTCTCCGATACTTGCCGTTATCCGTGACACCATCAGCACATCGAAGCGAACAGCAGTTGGTATTCCTACGCGGTTACAAATCTATTTATTAACCAGACTCGACGTTGCTTAACTTTGGTGATCTACATGAACAAGTGTTTAAACGTGATATAGCCGTAAGCCTCAATACAGGAGGAAAGAGATTGTCAGTATTCATGAATTTAAGAAAGTGTTACTGATAGAGTTAGATTATTTCAGCTATAATGTACTTGATTTCCTGATGTTTCAATCATATTAATGAATTGAACTCGTGAAGAAAGGGATTGTTAATGGTCAGAAAATAAAGACAGTGTAAAGGAGAATAGGAATGAAGAAGAAGAAGAAAAAATAGCAGAGAAAGTTTAGAGAAAAAGAAATGTGCCGATGATAGAGAGTGGAAGAGAGAGTGAGAGAAAAAGAGAGAGAGAGAGAGAAAGTAAAGTATGAAAGACAACGAAATGAAATTTGAAAAGAGTACAAATGCTGGAAGAATAGAAACAGAAAGAAAGAAAGAAAGAAAGAAAGAAAGAAAGAAAGAAAGAAAGAAAGAAAGAAAGAAAATGATAAACCGTAATGAGAAAAGAAAAAGAAATCCTGAAAGAAAGAAAGAAAGAAAGAAAGAAAAGAAAAAGAAAGAAAGAAAAGAAAAAGAAAGCAAAGAAAAAGAGATGAAAACAGAAAAATAAAAAGTGTATGAAGATAGACTTAAAGAAAGAAAATGAAGGAAAGTAAATGAAAATGAATAAAGAAAGAAAGAATGAATGTTTGCGTAGAAAGAAAGAAAGAAAGAAAGAAAGAAAGAAAGAAAAAAAAAAAGAAAAGAGATAGAAAGAAAATAAGAATGAAAAAGGAAAGAATACGGAATGAAAGATGGAAAGAGAGTTCAGATGTTGGAAGAAAGAAAGAAAGAAAGAAAAAAGAAAGAAAGAAAGGAAAAATAAGAATAAAAAAGAAAGAAAGAATGCAAAATGAAAGATGCGAAGATTTCAGATGTTGAAAAAAAAAGAAGAAAAAAAATAAGATTGAAAAAAGAAAGAAAAAAGGAATGAATGATGAGAAGAGTTCAGATGTTCAAAGAAAGAAAGAGTGAAAGTGAGGGAGGGAGAGGAAAAAAGCGGAAGGAAAGATGGGAAGATTTCAAATGTTGAAAGAAAGAAACGAAGAAAGTGAGAGGGAAATAATGAAAGATAACGGAATTAAATATGTTGAATTGAAAGAAATAAAAGAAGAATGAAAAATGAAAGAAAGAATACGGAACGAAAGATGGGAAGAATTGACATTTTGAAAGAAAGAAAGAAAGAAAGAAAGAAAGCGAAATAAAGTAGTAGGGAGTAGTTCAAATGTTAAAAAAGAAAGAAAGAAAAGAAAAAAGAAATGAAGAATATGGAAGAAAAGATGAGAAGAGTTGAAATTTTGAAAGAAAGAAAGAGAACATGGATTGGACATAGAGAGACATAGGAAGAATAAGGAAAAAAGCTGAGAAGAGTTCAAATGTTGAAAGAAAGAAAGAAAGAAAGAAAGAAAGAAAGAAAGAAAGAAAGAAAGAAAGAAAGAAAGAAAAACAACGAAATAAAAGATGGGATTAGTTTAAATGGTAAAAAAAGAAAGAAAGAAAAGAAAAAAGAAAGAAAGAATTCGGGACAAGAAATGGGAAGAGTTGAAATTTTGAAAGAAAGAAAGAAAGAAAGAAAGAAAGAAAGAAAGAAAGACAGCGAAAGAAAGACAAAGAAATAAAAACAGGAGTAGTTCAAATGTTCAAAAAGAAAGAAAAGAAAAAAGAAATAAAGAATACGGAACAAAAGATGGGAAGAGTTGAGATTTTGAACGAAAGAAAGAAAGAAAGAAAGAAAGAAAGAAAGAAAGAAAGAAAGAAAGAAAGAAAGACAAAGAAATAAAAACGGGAGTGGTTCAAATGTTAAAAAAGAAAGAAAAGAAAAAGAAATAAAGAATACGTAATAAAAGATGGGAAGAGTTGAGATTTTGAAAGAAAAGAAAGAAAGAAAGAAAGAAAGAAAGAAAGAAAGAAAGACAACGAAAGAAAGACAAAGAAATAAAAACTGGAGTGGTTCAAATGTTAAAAAAAGAAAGAAAAGAAAAAGAAATAAAGAATACGTAATAAAAGATGGGAAGAATTGAGATTTTGAAAGAAAGAAAGAAAGAAAGAAAGAAAGAAAGAGATCACGGTCGGTGCGTAGAAAGCGAGAGAAGATAGAATGTGCAGAGGATATGAAAGAAAAAATACTGAATAGAGTAGAAATTGGATATGGTCATAATGATTGTGATGAAAAAAAAATGTGTGTGATGATTAATTATAGTTTTTCATTTCTTTTTCTTAAATTTGATTTTTCTGATTACTCAGTGTCCCACTGCTGAATAACGGAAGTTACGTCATCGGACGCCTCCCCCCAATCAAGCACCTTAAAACTTGCGACTCTTGGAAAGTAAAAAAAAAAAAAAAATTCTAAATGGCGAGCAAACGGTTGTGGGGAGGAATCAAATCCGTGAAAAATATTACCGCTTTGTACCTTCTAAACTTTAAATTGTATAACTACATTATAATGACACATCGACACGCATATAATGGTCACATGCAAAATATTTTATTCTTCATTATACAGTAAAAAATTTGAGATCAAAATTCAGATAATGACCAGATGTTCTTCGTCTCTTTCTGTGTGTCGGGTCGATTCATGACACAAGCGATCATGGCTCTACCAAACTTCCTGTCTCGTGTGGCTCCTAACAGAATGTATCCATTTACTAAGCATCCCCCTCCTCGTTCCACAATCCATTCGTTAGGTAAGTCGTTTGCTGTCCTCCCCTATCTTTCTTGCCCTCAATGTACCCCAGGAGGTTAAGTTTCCCAAGGCCTACTTTCTCATAATGTGTCTAAGGAATTTCACCTGCATTTTCCTAAGAATATGTGTTTTTTCTGACATTATTTCCTTTAAGTCTTCCTCGTTGCTTACTCGCTCTGTTAATGAAATTCTCAGTATCCTTCTGTAGAACAGCATTTCTGCTGCATCTAGTTTGCTCTTCATCTGTGGGAAGATTGTCCAGTATTCACTGTCATATATGTGGATGGATAACACATAGTAGTCATGCACTTTTTTCTTTGTGTCTAACGAATGTTTTCCGTTTCTCAGCCCCTTGCTTACCTTTTGAGATGCTTCTTTCCCCAGTTCAATACCTGTTCGGATCTCGGTGTCACATTGGCAAATACACTTTCAGACGCATGCAAATTCCTGCCTAATTATTTTCTATAGATATGCATTGAAAAATCAGGAACAACTTAATTGTCAAAGGTTAGGAATCAAGGCAGTCATTATTGATAGAATAATGGCGATTACACCGGGTGTAACAGCAAAATTGTTCAACTGTTAGAATTCAAACGATGACGTTAAGTATTACTTCGGATCCACCGATAACTGCTGGAAAGCGCGTATTTACCACCATAAAATAACAGTGAGCAATATCAAATACGAATCACATCACTTTCAAAGTATGTTTAGCGATTAAAAGACAACAACCAGAACCCAACAATTAGCTGGGAAATAATCGCGAAAGCTAAGCCATATATTGGAAAGGGGGACATATGTAACTGTGTTTGTTGGAGAAGCTTATTATATGAAATATCCCTAACTTGCTGAACACGATGTCCGAATTGATGCTTGCATGTATACATAAACCCAAGCACTTTCTAAAACCCATCGATCCCGATTAGAAGATATTACAAAATAGATTTTATGAATATTAATATAATATAAAACAAATTTAAATGTAAAGTATAATATTTAAGTAAAACCTTTTTCTTAATTTTTAAATTCTTTCCCTTCCGTGCTTAAGAATTTGAACGATATAAATTATTAATAGTTAATTCTAATATTTTAGGCAATAATAATTAAATACACAAGTTTTAACACACACTTTTGAATCATCACCACGAGAACTGCATAAATGGTCAGAACATATATGCACCTGAAGATTGCAAGAACTGCATGAAACTCCGAGTCATGCTATCGACGTTGAATATTATACATATTCACAAATATATACTTATAGCTCTGTTTCATATATTTATAGCACCTGGGGAAGAAATATATTTATACGGACGTGCAAGTATATGTACGAGTATGTAGATTTTTTTATCCTACACATTCAGAGATATATATATATATCGAATTCGATATGTGCCACAAGGTCACCATTCTTTATATAGATACAAATATTTAAGTAAATGATCTGTTTATAACAAATTTACCGGCCTGAATGTCCGAGAAATTTTCACAGAAAATATTCGTCCTCCGACAGGATTCGAACCTGTATCCTATACGGAACCGTCATTTAGCTTGACGTGCCTTTACCGATTTGGCCACAGAGGAGCGTTCGGTTAGATAGGTCGAATTTACTGTATTTAAACTTCAATCTTCCATGAATCTCTCACGTACATTCATGTCTGATCATGGCGTATCAAATGTAAACAAATGACGTCACAAATTATGAAATGGACAAAGGGCAACAATTATTTTAAGACATTTTTATGTTTATACATTCTTTTTATATATACAAATATTTAAGTAAATGCTCTATTTATAAAAAACAGTATTTAACAACATTTACCAGTTTGAATGTCCCAGAAAATTTCATGAAAATATTCGTCCTCCGACAGGATTCGAACCTGTATCCTATACGGAACCGTTATATAGCCTGACGTGCCTTAACCGATTTGATATGTATATAAATGGAAGCGGTTATAGTAGTTCCAAAAAGAGAAACCGCTAACGTTTTTCGTTGTAATGTGGATTTCAAAAAAAATATTATGCTTTATTTTCCATAATTTTGCTACACGTGTTTCCGGTCTCGTGACCGTCATCAGACAAAGGGTGGATATTTCCACATATTATTAAAAATAATTAATTTTTTTTCTTATGTTTTTCGATGTTAAATATTCTCAATATGAGACATTCTCTTTTTTGTGTGTTAGTGGCCCAAATGTCTTCCTGAATTGGCAGTGAAAAATTCTGCGAGAAGGGTTATATATATATATATATATATATATATATATATATATATATATATATATATATTTATTTAAAGCGTGTTCCAATAACTTGGACCGATTTTAAACGTGAATTAAGTTTAAGCGTCTAATGATTTTTTTCCTTTTCTTTCAGGTTTAACAACTTAAGTCTTTGACGATTTCAAGCATGGAAAGATTAACAATCAAAGAACGTGTTACAGTTATCGAAGCCTATTCCGAAAATAGACGTTCAAACAGAAATGCAATGAAAAGTTCCCAGGTCGTATCATCTCTTGAAACAGCGAAGTCAATTGGCCACCACGATCGTGAGACTTGACGCCTTTAGATTTCTTCCTTTGGGGTCATCTCAAAAGTAAGGTCTATGCCAACAACCCAACAACAATTCAACAGCTGAAGGATGAGATATTAAGGCATATTGGTGAGATCGAGGAGCAACTATGCAGAGTCGTCATGAAATATTTTGACCATCGAGTAGAGGTGTGCCGTCGAAGCCTTGGCGGACATTTGGGCGATATTATTTATTACACATAATTGCCATGACTTAAATAACATGATCCAATAGAGAAATAAATAAATTTTCACCAATAACACTGATTTATTTACTGCTGACTTTGATTCGTTTTAATGAAACACCCTTTATATAATATATCGCACATTGAGTGCTGGTGTCAATAAAATATTGCTCGATGTAATATAACGGTGTTATTAAGTATATATTAATAAATATAGATTTATATGAATATGCATATATATTAATAAATATACATTAATATATATATATATATATAATAATAGTGGTTAATACACACACACAAACACACACATATATATATATAAATATAAACTATAAATATAAAAGTGAACTTCTATGTTCACTTTTATATCTACACACGCTCTATCTCTGATACTGAGCACTTTATCCCATAAATATAGCACATCTTAAGACTATATTTCTTCATATATATGAACTATATAAATATACATACATACATACATACCCATACATATACATATAAAAGTTTCTAAGAGGATAGAATCCAGGTAGAACTCAATATCCAGGACAGAGTAAGAATATAATAAAAAGTCTTAAAAACCTAGTACTCCATGGTCATAATTCATTATATTAGAATCGTAAATACGATCCAATTCATCAGAAATTCAAATTTAAAAAGAAATCAGAAAAATAACACCGGGAATAGAAAATAAAATTTAGTGAGTGTGTATGTATGAGAGTGGTGGAGGGAGGCGAATGTGAGAGGTAAATGAAAGCTCTAGAGAGGGGTACCAGACAAGAGAAGAACAGCAAGGCCTAAAAGTGAAGGTGGGGATTAAAATTTAACAGAGAGAAGTTTTAAAGAGAGGGGTTACAAGACTGCTTAAATGAGTGAGAAACAGATAAATGAGTTATTTTCCGATGGATTATTCATTACTGAATCGCTGACGTAAATTAAATTAAAAACCGACACCAATGTCAAAAACTGATGATGGTTAAAAGAAAGCAGTAAAAGAAGGCAGTGACAAATATCGGGAAAAAGGGAAATTAAATTAAAAAAGAAACTGTACAATTCAAGCGTAGTAAAAAATATTGACTGAATTCATCAATCAATATGGCTGACGAATTTGACTTGCTTTGCGGACATTTTGGTATATTGTAATGCTGCTATATGTCCATCCGAGACTCAATGCCGCCGACAGAAGTGCGGAAGAGATAAGACACGATTTCAATTCGGGTCGATAACCTCTGAGAATTGGACGGTAGATGCATTTATGGTGACTTTCCATTTATGGACTCTGTTCACTCAGCCATTGCAAAACAACACACCAGAAAGAGTGCCATGTCAGGCATTAAATGTAATCCAATTTGCCATCTATCTCAGTCTGTTCGTATATATCACAATCATTCTTTTTCAATCTGTTCTTCCATCTTTTTCTGTGTTCACATCTCATTCACTTGTATTTTCTCTCCATCTTATACTGTTCATATAGAGCTATTAGTTCCTATCTACCTTTAATTCTGTCTGCTTTATTATTATTATTATTATTGTTGTTGTTGTTATCATTATTATTATTATTATTATTTTCTTTGATTTCTGGCGTTTACACATTTCTTTCCGGGACCCGACCAGGGACCTAAGGTTAGAAATGACATCATGACACACTCCACTGACCAAAAAAAAATATATATATATATTACATAGATAAAGCCCTTCGTAAGGTGTGGGCTGTACTTGTCAGAATAATTTTTGTATCTCTTTGAGGCATGGACTTCCAGGAATCCCTTCAATTAGTCTACTGCAATCTTTTCCAACCAGTCCTAGGGCTCCAACTACAACAGGCATTGTTGATGTTCCCATATGCCACATTTTCGAGATTTCTATTTCAAGGTCCTTGTATTTTGACAGCTTTTTGAATATCTTCAAAGATACATTGCAGTCAGCAGGGACTGCCATATCAATAAGGAGGCACTTTTTTGTGGTCTTTAATAACAATTTATTATTATTATTATTGTTGTTATTGTTATTATTATTATTATTATTATTATTATTATTATTCCTTTGATTTCTTATGTGTACTCATTTCTTTCCGGGTCTCGACCAGAGACCTAAGGGTTGAAATGTCATCATGACATTTTCCACTGACAAAAAAAAAAAAAAAAAAAAAAAACATATTTTACATAGATAAACTCCTTTGTAAGTTGTGGGCTGTACTCGTGAGAACAATTTTTTGGTGTCAAGATGGATAAACGTCTGATCTGAAAACGTGTAAAAAAGAAACTCAATTAGTTTAGTGTTTTTTAGATGATCTTTCAAGCAATTTTAATCAAACTTAACAATTGCTTTATAAACGTATCCTCTTTTATATCCCTGGTAGCACACTGACAAATTGAATTTCAAAAACTCCAAAATAATTGTGGTCTTAAGTGGGTCTTCATGTACTCGGCTAACTTCGATTAAATAAATACTGACTACTTCTGTTATATCAGTAACTGCATTAATTAAAATATTTTTAATGAAAGTACTTTAAAGTAATTGAAGAAGATAAACTCTGTTGCATCTAAACATGATGCTGTTTTTGCTCCATTCTAATTGAACGCTTTTTCTGATCGACCAGCTGGCTATGGATGCTAGTGAAATATAAAGTATACAAAGCAATTCACCAACGATCACATTATTCGGTTAGCTTTTATGCTAGACTGCCTCAAATTATAAACAGCAACTTAATAATGTGAAGATGCTACGTTTCTCTGAATAACAGCGGTTGCGTGACGCGATATGGTGTCTAATAGTTAATGGAGTTTTTGTGTAGGTTTATCTATCCAAGAGCTGATCATAACTGCATCTTTTTGTTTTCGTATTGTGGGGAGGGGGGAGCGTAACCGCAGAAAATTTACCGAGGACTGTAAAATGTCCTATATATGTTCAATGGATTTAAATCTGGTGACCGCGGAGGTTAATGGAGTATCTAGATGTTGGTTGAATGTTCCTGGAGCAAGTTTCGTATCAGCAGTGCAGGATGGGAGTCTCATTCAATAAAAAAAAACGGAAAACAATTTTTTTTTTCATTATTTTTAATTTTGATATTTTTTGTAAAACAAAATGGTATCATATTTGGATATTTAAAAATAATTGTTAAATTACAAAAAAAAAAAAATTAAATAGAGAAAGAGCGACCTTTTAAATCGATTTATTAAAAAGGTATTTTTAAAAAAAAAGGATTATGGCTTGGTCGGTTGGCATGACAAGTATTTTTGAGTGGTAAAAACAATTGTAAGAAGCAGACGATTGTAAAAATAAACAAAAACACCGCCTGTCAGAGATATTCTCAAGCAAAATAGATGTGTTGATTACGACTTCATGTGTTCTTTTTATCATAAGATACACACGCATACACACGAACACACACACACACACACACACACATATATATATATATATATATATATATATATTACCGAGTGTAACAGCAAAATTGTCCAATTGTTAGATTAAGCTTTGAACAGTTGTAACTTTGAAATGATTAAAGATATCTTATTAGAATTTTCTGAGGATTTTATAACACTATGGGACCTATTTATATTATTCGGACTATTGTCCTCATCTTTGTCGCGATATTTATTAAAATGTTTCGAACTAAACCCTTTATTTCGCTCACTGGGGTAGACTGTTCTAGTTCCACGTGCCATGTTTAATGGATGTCAGTTATCAGTTATCTCCTGTTAACGTTGTGATAAATATAGCGACAAAGATGAGGACAATAGTCCGAATAATGTAAATAGTGTACATAATACCTCATCTCGGAAATATAGACAGATACTATTGGACCTTAATTTGAACACTAAGAATGTATTTATCTGTAAGTTGAAATGATGATTTCTCTTCCTGCCGTGACCTCCTGAACCAGTTTTCATCTCTACTGTTCCCTCTCTTTTAAAACTTATTCACCGTTCTCTTGATGGTTCTTCAATGGACTTTGAAGACGGAACCCAGATTATGAATGGTCCTACCATTTCTTAAGGTCTGAATGATCTTTTTCCTCCCACCATTGCTCAGTTGGGAAGATAGCTGGGCTGACACAAAACGATTTTAAACTGTTCTCTTTCGAGCTGAATAACTCAAAGAGTTTTTCAGTGATTCTTGCGACAAATGGTGTCAAGATGGTTAAACGTCTAATCTGAAAACCTTGAAAAAAGAAACACAGTTAGTTTAGTGTTTTTTTTTTTAGATATTAAACATTTTGTGGGATGGGCAATTGTTCCATGATTATTACACGATTTGTATAATTTTTCTGTTACACCCGTATATATATATATATATATATATATATATATATATATATATATATATATATATATATATATATATATATATATATATGAATGAATACGACAGACAAGGTGCTTTTATTTAGTTTTTTTTTATATAATTTCTCATGCGATCTAATACCTTTTTTTCTTTTCGGTTGACAATAGCAAAAAAATTAGATTAATTATTTATTACAAAAAATTTAAAACCTCTAACCTTATAGTTAAAAATAATAATTGACTTCCTAGATCAAAATTAAATAGGGCAAATATTATCTGCGAATTTAAACGCCGATTAAGTAATTGTATTCCTGATCAATCAAAACTCGTAAACAATTATATAGGCCACACTATAACATGTTTGACACGCAGACTCACACTACAACCTTTCTGACCAGAGCTCAATTAGATCTCATTTAAATATTCATGGAGACCTACCGGACACTATTCGTAACATACTTGTTGACAACACTAATATAATAGCATCATCTACATGCAAAAAAGGCTAAAAGTAATGGAAGCCTTATTAATAAAAACAAAAAAAAACAACACTTACTAATACTAACTTTGAAAATGGACACCATGTATTCACCGTGTTTTGAAAAATGAAAACATTTTTATAAAACATTCATACAATAAACTATTTCTTATTTAACAGTTAAAATATTCAATCCTTGAAAATGGCTTTTATATAATTTATCATCTGAAAAGAAAAAATGATTAGATCGCATGAGAAATTATGTAAAAAATTAAATAAAAGCACATTACCTGTCGTTTTTAATGAAATGTCCATGAAAGAAGCATTGCTGCCTAAATACACAAATATATATATATATATATATATATATATATATATATATATAAAATTCCAAAGAAAAACTAATCTTTGATACAGTGTTTCATCCTCTGATATCATCAGAAATATCTTTTTTCTTTATATCTTATTCTCTGATGAATGTTTAATAAAAGTGAAAAGTGGATGCAATTATTTGCATCTATTTTATAGTGTTGTTAACTTTTTTGTTCCTTATTTATTATTGATTACTTTTAGTTTTAAGTTGAATTGACGATTCTTCTTCCTGTTGTGACCTCCTGATCCGGTTTTCCTCGCTACTGTTGCCTTTTTTTAAAACTTATTCACTGTTCTCTTGATGGCTCTTGTATAGAATTTGAAGATGAAGGCCAGAGTATGAATGTTAGTACTATTACTGAAGGCCTGAATGATCTTTTTTCTCTTACCATTGCTCAGTTGGGAAGACAGTCGGTCTGACACAAAACAGTTGTAACCTTTTCTCTTTTAGCTTAATAACTCAAAGAGTTTTTCAACGAATCTTACAATAAACGGTGTCAAGATGGCTAAACATCTTATCTGAAAACCTGGAAGAAAGAAACTCGGTTAGTTTAGTGGCTTTTTTTATATTAAACATTTTGTGGACAATTATCTCATGCTCTTACACGATGTGGGCAATTTTGCTGTTACACGATGTGGACAATTTTGCTGTTACGCGATTTGGACAATTTTGCTGTTACGCGATTTGGACAATTTTGCTGTTACACGATGTGGACAATTTCGCTGTTAGACCCCGTATATATATATATATATATATATATATATATATATATATATATAAAGACCAAAGAAAAACTAATCTTTGATAAAGTGTTTCATCCGATGATATCATCAGAAATATCTTTTTTCTTTATATCTTATTCTCTGATGAATGTTTAATAAAAGTGAAAAGTGGATGCAATTATTTGCATCTATTTTATAGTGTTGTTAACTTTTTTGTTCCTTATTTATTATTGATTACTTTTTTATTTTTGTTGATTATTAATTTTGTATTGATGTATGCGTTCATATTCTGTTAACTTGTTTACTATTTATTTTAGTTGTTTACTTATTGATTTAGAGGTTTTGTTTGTTCTGTTTATTTTATTTTATTTGACTTGTATATTTTCTCGTA